AATATAATTTAACAAGGCAAAATAGTTGGAAATAAGTTGATATCACAGTTCAATTTCCCTTTACTTGTGTTTTAACAAATACATTGTAACCATGTGATCATGACAAGAATTGTGGTTGTTTAGTACTGTTGCGTCAGTTCTGACTCATAGCAGCCTGGTATAGGGTTTCCAACACACACACACACCTCACACCACACACCACACAAGCCAAGAGAATGCAGCGTGAGACAACTCAGGTGTAATTCGTTATTGCATATTAGCCTAGCTCCTTAATTGAATTTATCTTCCACCTGCTAATATTACTGCACAGAAGCAGTAACCGTGGCATAGTTCCTCTTTTTCACCTCTAGGTGACTTGCCTACATATTGTTGCTGTTGTTGTTGTTAAGTGCCAGATCTCAGAGTTGGTTCTGACTCATAGCGACCCTATATAGGATTCCCAAGGTGGGTTGAACTGCCAGCTGATCCTACAGTGTTGATCCTACAGTGCCATACCAGGACTCCTGGGTATTGTTATTAAATGCCATTGAGTCAGTTCCGACTCATAGCGACCGGAGCAGCTGGTGAGCTTGAACCACTGACCTTGCAGTTCAAACGACTTTGCTGTCCAGTGCATTAACCCACAGTGCCACACCAGGACTCTGCCTTATGTATTGTTGTTGTTGTTAAGTGCCGTTGAGTCGGTTCTGACCCATAGAGACCCTGTACAGGGTTTCCGAGGCTGTAAATCTTTACGGGAGCAGAAAGCCTCATCTTTCTCCCGCGGAGCGGCTGGTAGTTTCGAACTGCTGACTTTGCGGTTTGCAGCCTGATTCATAACCACTATGCTACCAGAGCTCCTTGCCTTATGTATTAGGGAGTGTTCATTTGTGACAAACCAGGTCCCTCTACTGTCCATCTGGAGTGACTGCAGTAGATGTGAAATTCCTCACAACAGTTTGCAGTTTTTGGTGGCTGTTCTAGGGTTGTGTCATGATGATTCTATATTTTTAGAGGAAACTGCTACACCCTCAATATATGTAGAACAGAAGGATGTGAGCACTTAATTGCAGCTGTCGTCATTGGGAAGTGTGGTGGCAAGTTTATGAAAACACTTCTCACTTCATTGATTGGGACAAAAGCTATTTCAGCAAGAGACTTCAGGGTCATTTTTATGTTCTTATTACTTTCATATTCAGTATTCAAGCCAAAGTTATTGATTTTCCTAATGAGACTCTAACATAGATGAAAATAATATCCTTTGATCTCAGTGTTTGGGAAGGCAATCCTCACTGCACCCTACAAGCCTTCTCAAAACCAACTAAAGCCTTTGGATTTGTAATCAATAGCTTCATTATTTTGAACATTCTATTGTAGATGTTCATGTTCTTTTGTTGTAGTAAACTGTAAATACATGGCAGATATGAATTACCCACCTTGGCACGTCGCCTGTACAGCTGTCTTTAGGTGCCATTTACTCACTTCTGAGTCTTATCGATCCTATGTACAACAGAACAAAACATCACACAGTTCTGCACCATCCCCACAGTTGTTACTAATTTGAGGCCTATTGTTGCTGCTGCTGTATGAATCCATCTTGTCGGGGGTCTTCCATTTTTTCATTGACCCTCCACTTTACCAAGCATAATGTCCTTCTCCAGGGACTGGTCCTTCCTAACAACATGTCCAAAGTATGAGACCTGAAGTCTTGCCATCCACACTTCTAGGAAGCAGCACTCTGGCTGTACTTCTTCCAGGACAAATTTCTTTGTTCTTCTGGCAGTTCATGGTACTTTCAGTATTCTTCACAAACACCTTAATTCAAACACATCAATTCTTCCATAGTCTTCCTTACTCACTGCCCAACTTTCCCATGCATATGAGGCACCTGGAAAAGCCCTGATTTAGGGGAGGCACACTTTAGTCCTGCAGCAGACATCTTGGCACTTTAATACTTTAAAGAGGTCTTTGATTTCTTAACCGCTGCTTCCATCAGTGTTGATAATGGAGCCGAACGAAATGAAGTCTGTGACAGCTTCAATCTTTTCTCCATTTATCATGACGTTATTTATCGGTCCAGTTGTGAGGATTTTTGTTTCCTTTACACTGAGGTGCAATCCACACTGAAGGCTACATCGTTGATCTTCTTCAGGTAGTATTTTAAGTCGTCTTCGCTTTCAACAAGCAAGGTTGTATCATTGGCATATAACAGGTTGTTAATGAGCCTTCCTCCAATCCTGATGCCATGTTCGTCTTCATATAATCCGTTTTCTCAGATTATTTACTTAACATACAGATTGACTAAGTATCATGAAAGAATACAACCTGGGTGCACACCTTTCCTGATTTTAAACCATTCAGTATTCCCTTGTTCTGTTGGAATGACTATTTCTTGGTCTATGTACAGATTCCTCATGAACACAATTAACTGTCTGGAATACCCATTCTCGTAATGTTATCCATAGTTTGTTATAGTCCACACAGTTGAATGCTTTTGCATCGTCAATAAAGGACAAGTAAACATCTTTCTAGTATTCTCTGCTTTCAGCCAAGATTCATGTGACTTTAGCAATATTATCCCCTGTTCCACGTCCTCTACTGAAGCCAGCTTGGATTTCTGGGGCAGCTCCCTGTTGAAGTACTGCTGCAATCATTTTTGAATTATCATCAGCAGAGTTTTACTTCCATATGATATTAAGGATATTCGCTGATTTCCCCATTCCCTTGGGTCTCCTTTCTTTAGAATGGACACAAATATGGATCTCTTAATATCAGTTGGCCAGGTAGCTATCTTCCAAATTTCTTGGCAAAGATGAGTGAGTGCCTCCAGTACTGCCTAGTTTGTTGAAACATTTCAGTGTGTATTCAGTCAATTCCTGGAACCTTGTTTTTTGCCAATGCCTTCAATGTAAGTTGAACTTCTTCCTTCAGTATCATTGGTTTTGATCAAGTGCTGCCTCTTGAGATGGTTGAGCATTAACATCTGTTGGGTTTTTTGTTTTGTTTTGTTTGGTGGGGGGGTTGTTTTTTGTTTTTTTTCAGTTGTTGTTTTTTTTTTTCAGGTTTTATTGTGAACTAAGTGATAGTTTACATGGGAGAACATTGGCTTTACACCATCATTTCATTGCAATGATTACAGTCTCCTCTGTGCGCCATCATTCAACAGCATTTGCTTCCATTCCCTCTAGTTTTCTTTCTTCACCTATTGTTTTTTAAACAGCGACTGTGCACTCCTTCAAACTTCTTTTGATGCTTCCTGCATCCTTCAGTATATTGGCCTTAGAATTCAATATTGCAATCCAAGACTTGGATTTTTTCTTTATTCTTTCAGCTTGAGAAATGCTGAGCATGTTCTTCCCTTTTGGTTTTCTAACTCCAGGTCTTTGCACATTTCATTATAAGGCCAATATGTCATTATTTAACACTGACAGCACATTTTCTATCACTTTGTGAGCAGCGGCACTTACTGCTCTCCAGTCTTGCCCCATGGCACTGTTTGCTGCTGCTTTTGGAGGGCAGGAGTCATGCTAGTGTTCTGTTGGTTCTTGAATAGCATTGCCATTTTTGTTTCTATAATTGAGCAGCACTTTATAGAGAGATTCTGTCTGCATCTCCAAGTCACCACCCCATTGCTAGTGTGAAACACAAGATAGTCAAACCCCAAGTAAATCATAACCTTGTTGTTCCTCTGCCTTCTTGCAAACTTCATTGCTTGCACTATGAAAAAATATATAAAACTATAAGCCCTGATGTGCCACTGTAGAATAAGCATTGGACCACAAGGTCAGCAATTCAAAACCACTCTATACGGGGAAACACTATACAGGGTCGCTATGAGTCCGAACCAACTCGACAAGACTTAACAACAACATGATACCTTCTCTAATAAGGTACACTTAAAAGAAAAATTATGTAAATAGTTGTTATTAAAAGGAAAGCTACCTATGGAAATGTTTTACATGGATGTAGCTAACCATTTTGTCAGGAAATTGTTTGCGCCACTGCTACTGGCCTCCCCTAAAGACCTAACTACTCGTCATCGGAGCACGCATGTGAGTGCCACACAGTACCTTGCGCCAATACATAATCCATCGTCGTTAAAGTGCCATCGAGTCAATTCCAACTCATAGCAACACTGTAGGGTTTCCACGCAGCAGCTGGTGGGTTTGAACCTTTTGGCTAGTAGTTCAGTGCTTATCCTACAGTGCCACATAATTTAGAGCTATAATAATGTGAATGCAAACATTTTCCCATTGTGCTTTTTTATTCTCTGTGAGTTGTTTTCCTGTGTGCATTTATACCAGTGGGGTTTTTCCATGTGCAGTTTTTGTGTGGGGTTTGTTCATGTGCATGGATTCATAGAACCACCCACATGAACCAAGGCCCCATCTATCCTGAGACCAGAAAAAGTAGATGGTACACAGTATCACTCCCAGCCATTCTGACCAGGGATACAATAGATAGCCCTGGAACAAATGGGAACAAATGTCAAACAAAAATCAAATTCTTACAAAATGCCAGAATTCCTGGACCAGTAAAGACTGGAGAAACTTTGAGACTTGTGCACTGAGCTACCCTGTAAACTTGGAACTAAACCCAAACCTCATGGAGGTCACCTTTCAGTTAAATAACAGACTGGCTCATAAAGTAATATCACCCATGAATACCTTACTGCACTTCAGGATAATGCGCTGGGCCGCAAGGTCCATTTTAGCCACAAGGTCTGTGGCTCAAACCCCCCAGCCCCTCGTTGGAAGCCCTATACAGGGTCACTATGTGTTAGAACCAACTCTACGGCACTTGGCAACAACAACAACATATGCAGCCTAGCAGCAGTATTTTCCTTACGAGCTGCTGTATCCTCATCTGTAGCATTTAAACATCCAAGAATATAATGATACACATAGGCATTAAAATTACTACAGTTTATGATTCCGCTTTGTTCTTACTAAGAGACTCCAGAATACCAACTCTTGATTGAAGGGGTGATTTCTTTGTTGAATGCACCCCCTTTCTTTCAGACCTCTTAAGCCATGAAAATGCAGCAACGCTGAATGATGTCAAGACGCTGGTCCAACAGCTGTACACGACACTGTGCATTGAGCAGCACCAGCTAAACAAGGAGCGGGAGCTCATCGAGCGGTTAGAGGATCTTAAAGAGCAGCTGGCTCCCCTGGAAAAGGTGAGACTTCAAACCAGCTTCTCTCCAGCTATATTTTCTCTAGACCATACATGCTTCCTTTTGTTCCTTCAACGTTTATGTAACTGAGGTGTCATTTAAAACCCCCTCTAGTTTATGAAACCAAGCCATGAAAAAGTTCCGTTAAAAACTAATGAAGGATTTTTAAAGGAACAATTTGAAGCTTGATAATAGGGTTTTAAGGTCTAACTGCACTATCCTTGACCACATTTACTACTTTCCAAACAAAGTCTGGAATAACTGCTAATCAGGAAAGGTTCTGAGGATGGTGGGAAATGATTTTTGCCAGGTTAAGAATAAATATTGGGCTAGTATGCAACTATTTTAAATGATAATATGGCTCTAACAGATCCATCATATATTCTTAAAAGCACATTATACAGCTGTACATATTGTGGTCTAGTTTTAAGTGTTATGTATATATCTGTGCATACATAAGAGGAATATCTTTTTAAAGGCTAACAGAGTAGGAGGATTATGACTGATATGTGAAAAAAAATTAGAAAAGTTTTTCACAGTAAACATGTATCATCCTCACTATGTTATTATGTTTATACAATTGTCTCCATTTTTATAAATTAGATTTTGTATCAGAGATTAAGGTAGGATACATATATTCTTAAAAGTGTACTTTCCTGATTTCTTTAAAAACACTTATAATTAAAACTGATATTTTGTTGTATTGGTATATAATCATTCTAATTCAATTTAAGACCATTAAAATGTGATCACTGAAATCTGAGGAATTGTCATAAAAGGGGAAGAGATTTAAGTTTGTACTTCCAAAACGTGAAGCATTTTTTTAATGTAACAGCCATAACAAAATACCGTTTATCATTATTGAGTATTTACTGGGTTCCCGGAATTGTGCAAAGTACTTTTTCTTAAATAGCCTTGGTGGCACAGTAGTTAAGCGCTCAGCTACTAACCAATAGGTCAGCAGTTCGAACCCACCAGCCACTCACAAACGAATGATCTGACAGTTGGCTTCCTTGGAAACTGCAAGGAGGTGGTTCTACCCTGTCCTCTAGGGTTGTTCTCAATCAGAACCAACTCGAAAGCAACAGAGAAGGGGGCTAGTATTCATGAGATTTTTACTTAAATCCCAAAGCAACCCTATTCTGCCTCCTACTATGCCCTTTGAATATACACTGAAAATAAACTCAATCTTGCAGCTACCGTGAGATAGCGTTAGAATTTCTCTCCTATGGTTGGATAAAGAGCTGGTGAAACTAACTTATTCACTCCCATATTCTCGGTTTTTTCTAGGGTGAAACATAAAATACCAATGCCCTAAAAAAAATCGTTACTCCTATAAAATATTTTGTTCAGTGAAAACTAGAAATAAACTATTTAGGAAGACAAGCTGTGCTTACCAGCTTTGGGACTAACCTGTGTGTTGATAGCCATCCCTGTTCTTTAATGAATACAGGAACTTAAATAAGAGCTTTAAATTGATTCTGTATCAAAATGCTCTATTACCGATCATGTATGACCCACAGGTACGAATGGAAATCAGCCGAAAAGCTGAGAAGAGAACCACTTTGGTGCTATGGGGTGGACTTGCCTACATGGCCACACAGTTTGGCATTTTGGCCCGGCTTACATGGTGGGAATACTCCTGGGACATCATGGAGCCTGTCACCTACTTCATTACTTACGGAAGTGCCATGGCCATGTATGCGTATTTTGTAATGACCCGCCAGGTAAGAAATCTCTCCAAGTAACTCTTTATAAGATAGTAATGATGTTTCAGTTATCAAAGTAGTTCTCTTTTCTCTCATCGTCTTGCTAATTAAATATTCCTTTAGCTTTTGTGTTTGTATGCACACATGCATGTATTACAATTACACAGCAGGCATGTTTCCAGGTGTTAGATATAGAGAGATGAATCTAAGGCATGGCTTCTACCCCTGTGGAGCTCACGGACTATTAGAGAGCTATGGTAGTGGTGTGCCGTGGAGTCAGTTCCAACTCATAGTGACCCTGTAGAGAATTTTCCAAGCTGTAAATCTTTACAGGAGCACAAGGCCTCATCTTTTTCCTGCAGAACGGCTGGTAGTTTCAAACTGCTGACTGTGAGATTATCAGCCCAACGCATAACCATTACACTACCAGAGAGAGCTATATAAACCAGTTGTTGTTGTTGTTGTTAAGTGCCATCGAGTCGGGTCCGACCCATAGCGACCCTGTACAGGGTTTCCGAGGGTGTAAATCTTTACGGGAGTAGAAAGCCTCATCTTTCTCCCGCGGAGCGGCTGGTAGTTTCGAACTGCTGACCCTAAGGTTCGCAGCCCGATTCGTAACCACTACGCTACCAGAGCTCCTATATAAACCAGTAAGTTCAGAAAAATAAACTGTAGTAAGGTATAGGATTACAGAACAAAGGAGAACGTGATTAGCTATGGTGGGGGGTAGGGTGGTGGTTGTGATGTGCCGTGGAGTCGAGTCCTACTCATAGCGACCCTGCATAAGGATTCTGAGGCTGTAAATCTTTACGGGAGCAGAAAGCCTCATCTTTCTCCCGTGGAACAGCTGGTAGTTTCAAACTGCTGACCTTAAGGTTCGCAGCCAGAGTTCCTTGATTAACTGCAGCAGAGATTAAATGGGCTCAGCTTGTTATGTAATTAGCAGTCTTAGGAGAAAGTTCCATACTTTTTAGGTTTATTGAATTCTTAGAATAGTAGAATTGTTGTGTGGTGCTGGGGGTTAATGCACTGGACTGCAAAGTCTCTTTGAACCGCAAGGTCGGCAGTTCAAGCTTACCAGAAGCTGCCCAGAAACCCTATACAGGGTCACTATGGGTCGGAATCTACTCAGTGGCACTTAACAACAACAAAAGCAATCAAGTCATTGTAGGATAAGCACTCGACCACAAGGTCGGTTTGAACCACAAGGTCAACAGTTCAAACTCACCAGTCATTCCTCAGAAATCCTAAAAAGGGTCTCTATGAGTTGGAACCAACTCAATGCTACTTAACAACAAGCAAGTAGTTATACTAAATTGTCCCAAAACCCAAACTCATTGCTATGAAGTCTGGAGCTGTGACACATTTAATAATGTTGTTGCTGTTATATGCCGTAGAGTTGATGCCGACTCACAGTGACTCTACATAGGGATTCCAAGGACTGACTGGTAGGTTTGAACCACTGATCTTGTGGTTAGAAATCCAGTGTTTATGCTACAGCGCCACACCAGGACCCCCTCCCTGGTATTTGGAAAACTATAATCCATTAAGTAAATAGAAACATCTTGGAGAACATAATTTCTGCTTATTTTAGAAATGTCTCTGTGAACTAAAGATTACCTTGGACTCAGTGCCAGTACTTTTCCTCATCATATGAGGGATCTTTGAAAACCTAATCGGTGCTAGTAGTTAAATCTCGACTTCTGTGATTCCCAAACATTTTTGCTGCCCCCAAGTGACAGGTTTAAAGTAGCAGTTATAAATACTTCATTCCTTGTTTAAGTGCCTTTGAGTTGGTTGGGACTCATAGTAACCCTGTAAATCTTTGCTGGAGCAGAAAGCCTTATCTTTCTCCCACAGAGCGGCTAGTAGGCTCGAACCACTGAGCTTCTGGTTCACCACCCAGTGCTTATCCTACAAAAGCACTGTGCTCCCTAGGAATAGGAAAAACAGTGACAAAATTTAGAGAAAACTACATCATGTATTTTATTCTCTTAGCAGTATTCATAATTAGCTTCCATTGAGTAAAATGCCTATTCAGTAGCATTGAAATTCTCTAAACTGTTGTCAGCAATCTAAATATCTTCCTATAGAATATTAAGTTCCAACAAATTTTTAGAAGATGACAAGTTTCATGAAGTAATAAAATCAGGTGGAATATTAAATTTAACTGACCAGTATTTCAGTGGAACCTAAATGCCAACTTCTCTTATGGGGAAAATGAGCCTAGCAATAAGACGCACCAGTCTAGGGTCTTAAAAGCATGTGAGTCGCCATCTAAGGTTCTTTCCTTGTCCAGAGAACAGAGAGGGAGGACGACTGAAGATGCATTGAAACAATGAGTTCAGTGAACTAATGGACCACATGAATGTCAGTGTCCATGACCCTAAGACCACAACTAAATAGTGCCCGGATACCACTCAAAACTGTTCTCAAAGGGGTCATATTAGAAGGTCCTGGAGAGAGTGGGGAAATCTGTGGAAGAAAACTCAAAATTATAAAAAAGATCCGGCTTACTGATGGAAACCCAGAGGCTATGGCCTTCGTCACCCTTAAAATCTGAAAATGAAGTCTTCCCCCGCCCCACCCCCCCATGACTCCATTTTCAGCCAAACACTAGACAGGTCTTAAAGTGGAACAGCAGCAATAGTGGGGCACACACACCTTAGAATAATCAACCATTTGAGGTCAGACGCTCAGCATTTACCCATGGATAAGGTTCAGGAGGTTAGGAAAAAGGAAGGAATGGCAACAGGAAACACAGGGAGGAAGTGGGGTAAGTGGGGAGTGCAGTCAATGGCATGAAACAATATGTGTGTGAATTGCTGAGTGGAAAACAAAACGGATGTGCTCTATAAACCTTCACCCAATTCACATTTAAAAGTTTAAAAACTACAACAAAAGAATTGCCAGAGTTTCTTCAGCATGCATATGGACCACCCATCCAACAATCTAGCCCCCATGCATTTTCAACTGAAATAATGCTGCTGTCTTAGGCTGAGTTTTCTAGAGACGCAAAACCAGTGAAACGTATATATGCATATATACGTAAAAAGATATTTATATCAAGGAAATGACTCACAATTGTAAGAGTCCCAGGTCACCAGCAGAAGAAAGCAAGCTTTTCCTACAAGTCTGTTGTATTGGGAGCAAACCACACTCCCAAGGAAATATCCTTTCTGTTGATTGGCTACTCATAGCCAATCATCATAGAGTTAACTGTGCCTGTATTAGGTTTCATCACCATGAGGATCAAACCACTGCAAATGGCCTCCCAAGGGGGTTGAACTTGCTTCTTGGGGAATAAACACATCTTGGATATTACAATGGATTTTGATCCTACATAAACAGTATTATTAAAATTTGTGGGGAGCAAGTAGAGAATTCTGGTGTGGCGCTGCTGGTTAATGCGCTGGAACATAAGGTCAGTTTGAACCACAGGGTCAGCGTTTCAAGCTCACCAGCTGCTCCTCGGAAATGCTGTACAGGGTCGCTATGAGTTGGAACCAACTCAAAGACACTTAACAACAAGAAGGTAGAGAATCAGGAAAAAATTGTTTAAAATGCTCCTTAAGTCAAACCAAATCAGTCACGATTGAGTCAGTTCCAAGACCCCGTGTATATTGAAGTTGAATTGTGTTGTTGATGGGTTTTCAGGCTGTAACCTTTCAAAAGCTTATTGCCAGGCCCTTCAGGGAGCAGCTGGTGGGTTTGAACCACCGACCTTACAGTCAGCAATCCAGTGCCTATCCTACAGTGCCGCACCACAACTCCAGACTATATAACATCATTGTAGTTAAGTACCATCAAGTCAGTTCCAACTCATAGCAACCCTATATAGGGTTCCTGAGGCTTTAAATCATTGTGGAAGCAGAAAGTCTCATCTTTCTTCTGCCGAGCTGGTGGGCTCGAACCACAGACCTTGTGGTTCACAGTCTAGTGTTCACTGTCTGGAGCTACCACACTCCCAGACTATAGTATGCATGTTGTTTGTTATTAAGTGCCATCGAGTTGATTCTGACCCATAGCGACCCTGTACAGGGTTTCCAAGGAGCAGCTGGTGAATTTGAACCGCCAACCTTGCAGTTCAACTGGCTTTACAGTCTCGCACCTTAACCCACAGCGCCACACCAGGACTCCAGACTATATGTTGTTGTTGTTGTCAGGTGCCATCGAGTCGGAACCGACTCATAGCGACCCCATGCACAGCAGAGCGAAACAATGTCCGATCCTGGGCCAACCTCACTACCGCTGCCACACCTGAGTCCATCAATGATGCCACCTGGCTGATCCATCTCGTTGGGGGTCTTCCTCTTTTTCTCTGACCCTCCACCTTACTCAGCATGACATCCTTCTCCAACGATTGTTTCCTCCGGACAATATGTTCACAGTAGGAGAGACGAAGCTTAGCCATCCTGGCCTCCAAGGAGCACTCTGGCTGCACTTCTTCCAAAACAGATCTATTGGTTCTTTTGGCAGTCCATGGCACTTTCAGTATTCTCCTCCAACACCACAACTCAAAGACATCAATTCTTCTACGATCTTCCTTATATAGTACTATATAATACAGCTAAATAAATAGGTAACAACTCCACCCAACAGATGAATCTTAAAAACATAACACTGAGTCAAAGTAGCTAGAGACAAAATATATTGTATTCCATTTTTATAAATTAAAAACACAGGTAAAGTGAAACTGTGGCGCTTAGAGATGGGTACTTGAGTAGGAAATATGTAAAAATAGCATAAAAACTATGTGCAGGAGAGAAGTGTCTAAGCACTGATCTAATTCTGCTTTCCTGTCTAGTGCTGATTAGGGTGTTCCTTATGTGATGGACTCATTGTGATGGATGTTTTCATGTGTGTGTTCTTCCATATATAGTCCCCAAGAAAATTTTAAAAATAAATAAGCATTTAGCATAGCATATTAAAGACACTATGTCTTTATATGTGTGCTTATGTGTTGAATCTAACCAATAGTTAGTGAATGTTTATGTCGTATATATTGTATTGTTTATTGTTGTAGTGTTCCACCAAGCTGGTTCCAGCTCACAGCGACCCTGTATAGGGTTTCCTAGAGCAGGTGGTAGGTTTGAACTGCCAGCCTTGCACTTAGCAGGCTAATGCTTATCCTAATAATTCACTTTCTCCTTCATTTTTGTAGGAATATGTTTATCCAGAAGCCAGAGACAGACAATACTTACTATTTTTCCATAAAGGAGCCAAAAAGTCACGTTTTGACCTAGAGAAATATAATCAACTCAAGGATGCAATTGCTCAGGTAAGTTTTGCAAGAATAAAGATAAATCTTCTATAACTAAAGAATTATGTGCTTGTTGTTAGTGCATCAAGTCAGTTCCTACTCATAGTGATCCTGCATTGGGTTTCTGAACATTAATGAGGGGTCTGCACAATGTCTTGTCTAGAGGACACAACCTTGCAGTTAGAGGTCCAGTGTTTGTCTTCTTAGGCATTCTTATTGTGCATTTAACTGAGACGATCTTTCTAGCTCACAGCTCTGGTACCAGTTTTTCTCAGAATACAGTAACATCATTAGAAGCTTTATTAAGCAGTTTGTCTGACCTTTTGTTTCTATTTTAGGCAGAAATGGACCTTAAGAGACTGAGAGACCCATTACAAGTACATCTGCCCCTACGACAAATTGGCGACAAAGACTGATCTGCAGAGAGCCCTCGAATCCCGGCAGAAAGAGCACCTGTTTGTAACTCTTGCCTTTGTAATTAAAGCCTTGCAGGTGGAAGCTGGGAGGTATATGGGGGTGGAGAGTTTTTACCTTGAATTAAAAAAAAAAAAAAAAATCAAAAGGAACTTAGTGGGTAAAAGAATGCTAAAATCTGAGGATCAGGCATTGTGGAATATAAGTCTCAAAGGGCTTAGTGAATATTGTCTTAATCAAGCATCTGAATTTCTGGATGAAAATGATGCTGTTCTATAGTTGGGAGATTTGTAGAGAAAATGATGCTGGGGGTGTCTGTTTCTTGCACTTTCTTCGCAGGGTCAGCAAAACAATACCACACCAGCACCCCGGTCAGCTCTAATTTTTGTTATTTAACTTTTCTTATTTTTGACACGGGAGTAAATAAATATAACAGGAAAGCATATCCACAAGCTATGACAGGCTTTGAAAAGTTCATGGAAAAATTCCATTATCTTTTAATTCCATTTTTTCATGAACTTTTTGAAGCTCCTTCGTATGTGGGTAGCCAGCTCGTATCATTCGCAGTGATTTTAGACTGGACCCGGTCTCTGCGATTACCAGGAATCTCTCCCATCTGTGCCCCTTTGCTGACCACGTATGCCTGTTGATTACACTAATTTTATCCATGATAATTGGAACCAACTGATGACTGGTAATTGACACTTTGGATTATCCCTTAATACCTTCTTAAATGTCTATATAGCCCAGTGCTCTGGGTCAATATCTAGAAATCATTGGCAATACTGCATGAAGTTTTGTTTTGCTTTGTTTTTTACTAATTAATCTTTAAGAGGGGGGAATCCTTTCCCTCCTTTATTTACCTTTCCCGTTGATACCATCCCCCTGACCCTTCTAACTCTCAAATCAGAGGGGGAGTGTTCAGCCGAATTACCAAATCAGGAAGATGTGAGGTTTACAAATTGGCTAAAATCATGGCTCTGTAGCCATTTCAGAACCAGAATCATTTCATTGCTGTTAATCTGCTTTTGTGATAGCATTCCAGGCCACCCAGATGGCACTGCCTTGTCTGGAGACTTCCTTAATCCCAAAGGACACACACTTCCACCTTGTTTGTGAGCCCTGCCACCGCCACCACTTGTGTAGTTTTAAATCAAGTGTGTGGATCTCAAAGGGTGCGATTTCTCTTTATACAGGAATACATTTCTATGACTTACTCCGGCCTACCTTCTCCACCCTATTTTTTTCTTATCTTCAACTGAGAGAAGACTTAACTCTTTTACTCTTTCAAAATGTTTTCTACCATATTTCCAGATAACATCTGCATCTGAAGAGTCAAAGGGGTCTGTGTCTGGTATCCTGTTTTTAACTACAGTGGGGCAGGATGGAAGGACAGTGGGGCTTGCCAGACAAACTGCTTTCGCATGATTCATCCCTCCTTGGGGCAAGAGTTTCCTTTCTCTTTTTCTTCCACCTTTGGGATCAGTACGTGTGAAAAGAAACACTTTAAATGACAAAGCCAGAACCCGGGTGCCTTGCCAGAGGTTGAAGGGCAGCCAGGATTGCTGCTGCTGCTCCTGCCACCACACCTCCCGCGGCATAATGGAATGAAAGGGTGCATGGCTCCACCTCCTGCCCCAGCCCCCACCCCACTCAGCCAACTCCTCCCTCGGTTTTTGTTTTTTAAGTTGTATGAATTATTTTTAAACCATTTATCCTGTTTGTGCAGGGTTTTTAAGAAGAAACAGCACAGTGCAATGAGCTAATCCTTTCGGGGCCGTGTGGGAGGCCAGGGAGGGAGGGTGTGGAGAAAAGCCCTTTAAACAAATAGCAAAATACTGAACATGTGTAAAATCCTGTATCATTTATGAAATATGTATAAAAAGCAATGTACCTTCTGGAACAATAAATACTTATTCAATTTTTGAACAAAAGCATCTCATTCTTTAAAACTAACAAAAGATATTTTTCTGTGATTCAAAGTAGAAAGCTTTTTACTTCTAAGTTCATTTTCTATAAAAATACCACTATCAAATTAAGCTTGTGCCTAGAGCCGAGTTTTCAAATCAGGCATCTTATTCATTCTTCCTGAGCCTAAAATGATCAGGAGTTTCCCAGAGAACCAAGAGCTGAATGCCTCCGCTTGTGCCATCCAGGGACGCCCTGAGGTTGGCATCCCCAGCTCCCCTCCTACAGGACCAGTGCCCCTTCCATCAGAGAGCCAGGCTGTCCAGGGTGGTCTCCCAAGTTTCAGAGACTTGACCACCAATGGACCAAGATTAAATACTTGTTACTTTAAGTGTTTGTACAAAATCTATAGCAATTTCCAAACATGAAAACATTACATGCTGCCAAGATCAGTAAAGGGCTATATCGAGAGGTATATATGAAATGTCTAATTACATTGAGTGCAGCGGGAGGCAATGTAACAAGGCAATGTAACCCATTCCTATGGTTCTGCCTCCTACAGAAGCCTAGCCCAAAGCACCCTGAGATACACTCATGAGATGTGAGAAGGAAAGATTGAAGGTGTTACTACTCTACGTAGTTCTATGACATCTTGCTAAGCCTTGCAGGGGTTTTTTGTTTTGTTTTGTTTTTTAAGGAAAATTCAAACATGATTCCTTGTTGGACCGTATCCAGAGAAGCAGCAACACCAGAGATGGAGGCAAAGATGGGGACATGGAGAGAGGGAGCAGCTGAGGACTCTTGACTCATGGAAAGAAAGGGACTGAGTGTTGGCAGCCAGGAGGCAGGCTTGCAGAATGTGCCATTTGGTTGTTTAAATTATTATATATTCCTGAGATTTTGTGTACATTCACCCACCCCCAACAACAACAAAAAACCACAGAGGGAATGAAGGCAAATACTGTTGAATGACGATGCCCGGAGGAGATTGTAATCATTGCAATGAAACCATGGGGTAAAGCTGATGTTCTCCTATGTAAACTTACTCAGTTCACAATAAAAAAAATGTTTTTTAAAAAACATGATTCCTGCCTCTAACAATATAAAGGCTATTATAAAGCACGGTGGATTCTCACTAAAATAATATTAAATCCATTACTGAGTTTAGTTAATACAGCTTTGCTAAGGAATCAGACTTTTTAAAAAATTCGCTTTCTCAAATCCATTTCTGGAGTCCTGATATGGTGCTATGGGATAATACACTGGACTACAAAGTCAGTTTGAATCACAAGGTCACCAGCCACTCCTCCGAAACCCTATACGGGGTTGCCCTAATCCGTTTTTGTAGTCCTGGTGGGGTGCTATAGGTTAAACACTGGAATCCTAACTGCAAAGTTGGCGGTTCAAACCCACTAGCCACTCCTCCGAGACCCTATAAAGGGTTGCTATGAGTTGGAATGAACTTGATGGCATATCACAGCAACATTTTTATTTTAATAGTACTTTTTAGGACAGTTTTACAGAAAAAATCATACCAAAAGTAGAGTTCTTACATTCCCCTTCCCGCTACATATTATTCCTCATTAACATCTGGCATGCCTGTGATGTTACAATTAATGAACAAATACCGAGGGTTGGTTATTAACTTGAGGCCTGGTGGTGCAGTGATTAAGCACTGGGCTGCTAACTGAAAGGTCAGTGGTTCGAGCCCACCAACTGCTCCACTGGGGAATGGTGTGACAGTCTGCTTCCATGAAGATACCAGCCTTGGAACCCTGTGGGGCCATTCCACTCCTATAGGATAGCTATGAGTTCACATTGACGACAACGTGTTTGCTTTTTATTATTAACTGAAGTCTGTAGTTTACATTGTTGTTGTTAAATGTCGTCAAGTCAATTCCGACCCATAGCGGCCCTGTTCCGGGTTTCCAAGGAGCAGCTGGTGAGCTTGAACCACCGACCTTGCAGTTCAAACTTTGCAGTCTGACGCATTAGCTCACAGCGCCACCCCAGGACTCCGTAGTTTACATTAGGGTTCCCCTCTGTATTTCTCTGTCCTAAAGATGTTGACAAATGTCTCACAGAATCGTTTGCCCTAAAAATGCCCTGTGCTCCACTTACTCCTTCCCACTTCCTACGTAACAACTACTGATCTGCTGACTGCTCCCTCCAGAATGTCGTGTATTTGCAGTCATAGACTGTTAGACTGGAAAAAGCAAAGGTTTCTGAAAGTATCGTCCCTGGGCCAATAGCTTAGGATCTCCTGGGGACTATTGCAAATCCAAGTTCATCAGAAGTGGGGCCAGCAATCTGTTTTCACAAGTTCTCCTGGTGATTCTGACTCGATCCAATGAGCCAGTCAAAATATTGCTTTCAAGAGAAGTGAAGCACAGCTTACCTGTGAATTCCGTGATCAAAGAATCCTGCAAAGGGCCTGGAGGGTTGGTAATATGAATGAGTATGGTGAAGATGGCAAATCAAAGGAAAACTGTAATCAGAAATCATGTCTCATTCTACCAATGCACCTTGCTTGTCAGGTGTAATGGTTGCTGTTATTAAGGGCCATCAATTTGGTTCTAACTCGTAACGACCCTGTATAGGGCTTCCAAGGAGCAACTAACTGGTGAGTATGAACTGCCGACCTTGCAGTTCAAACTGACCTTACAGTCCAACGTGGTAACCTACAGTGCCACACCAGGACTCTAGGTGTAATGGTATGCACATGAAATAAAAACCATTTGTCCAGTAATTCCAACTCCTAGCAGCCCCATTTTCCCTGGATGATCTCATCCAAGTTGTGTTGACAGCTCTCAAAACGTTATTCCAGCTCAGACCTCCTGAGCAGCAGGCTAGTTTATCCATCTATTTCCAGCATTGCGCCCTATCCACTAAATTCCTCCACGCCCACCACATACTCGTACATTTAAATTCTAGTAGCACATACTTTTAAAAGTTAGGAAATTTGGACAAGACTTTCCATGAACTACAGGAGAGGGAGGGTGCCAAAGACCCCACAAAGAAGTCAAATCAGAATGTGAGGCATTCGGTTAGACTGGACTATTTCAACAGATGGCATGTGGGCGGGGGTGGGGGG